CACACTCACAAATACACTTACAGACACACAAAATATTAATATTAAATGTCCACCCAGTCTCCCAACCTGGAGAGCTGGTGTGGATCTGTCCCTGGGGTCCAGTGGGGCTTCACTTCGGCGTGCGGCAGAGTTCTAATCCGAGGTGGCGAGGGAGCTCTAACCTCTCTGCTCTGCTCCCTCGCGGGCTGTCTACTGATGCCAGGAGTCGGAATATGATGTTATATTCCGGGTCCTGCGGCATCAGCAAACATCGTACGAGGGACCAGAGAGGTTAGAGCTCCCTCGCCGCCTCGGATTAGAATGCTGCCACGCCGGGGGGTCCAGAAGGTGGCCTGGCAGGAGGGAGCGCTTCCCTCCTGCTGGTCACTGAAATCTTGTGCCCCCAAGCTGCTCGCGCCCGCCCACTCTAAGAAAGAGAAATCCTCTCAAAAAGAGAATTTAGCCACCGAAATCCCTACCGCCCACCTGGAATCCTGAAACGCCCACTAGTGGGCGGTAGGGACCAGGTTGACGACCCATGGTGTAAAGAAAAACAAAGACAGTTTGAAGACTTTAAAGGAACACTACAAAGTTAGAGACAAATAGATGTATTTCTGATGTTGGAATTATACTCTTTCATTTTATATTTAGGGCCCCCTACCCCTCCCCCCCCCCAAAAAAAATACCGTACATTATTTATCTTTAATCCAGAGGTGAGGCTGTCATTTCGAAACAGCACTGCTACACTACCAGGTGAGTATCACTACTGATCATCTCTCGGAAAGTGCAATGCTTCTGATAGAAAAGCAATAAGGCACAGGGTAAATGTGCAGCAATCACAGAGCTTCACCAGCAATGCACTAGCATTGCAACCAATGATTCTATATGAAAAGCCCTCACTTCCTCTTTGAGCAAGCTCTCAAATCAAGTAATTAAGGAAACCCTTGGTCTGGCTGACCAGGTAGTTACTAAAGATATTGATAAAAGTGCAGATTTCTTTTGATATTGGCCCTTTTATAAAACAAGATAAAGGGGGCACTTCTTGAAGTACATTAGGTGATTGGTGTATTTCTTTAAAAGGAAACTGTAGGCACCCAGACCACTTCCGAATGTCCCATGTCACTTAACCCTACAGTGGTAACTATTGCAGTTTCTGAGAAACTGCAATAAGTATATTGCAGGCTTAACTCCTCCTCTAGTGATTGTTTACCAGACAGCCACTAGAGGGACTTCCGGGTGCTTAGGTGACTTTTGGTCGTCTAAATGACGCTATGCATGAGGACTTCCAGCGTTCCCATAGGAAAGCATGCGCATTAGGTCTCCCACGTCAGCTGACGGCGGGGGGAGGAGCGTGGGCGGAGCTTGACCCTGAACCGGGGGACATCAGAGCTGGATTCAGGTAAGTGACTAAAGGGGTTTTAACCCCTTCAGTGGCACGAGACGGGAATGCGAGGGAGAGGGGCACTGTAGGATTCTATAGTACCAGGAAAACGGCTTTGTTTTCCTGGCATTATAGAATCTTTTTATGGTCTCCAGTATATAAACAAAAGTGTAATAAAACAGCCAAAGTGAGAAACTATTCTCTGATTTGCTATTCTGTTGCCATCATTAAAAGGCATTTTCTCTTGTGACAAATATTTCCAACACACAATTTATTATTCACATAGAAAACTATGGCACAAGGATTGAAACCTGCTGCCTTATTGCTTGTGATTAGAATTGACACACAAAACAAAAAGATAAGATTTATAGCAGAATATTTTACATGTCGATGGATTTGGTGCAAAAGAAGATCAAAAGACATTTGCATGGGAACATTCTGTACAACTATTCTGCACAAACCCATCTGGGGGGCTGGGCTTTGAATTAATTACATTGGGTGTCCAGAGGACCCACTGGTTATGACACAGGTGAGGGGTTAATAGTTCAGTGGATTAGTATTCACCGCTGCCACCCACGCTTTCCCCTTTGAAGTGGGATGGAGCATTTTAATTAAACTAATTTGATTAATTACTTTGGGTTTCACAATAGTCTTCTCCATTTCTCTCAAACACTATGCCATAGCTAAAGAGTAAAATAAGACACCATTACACTGTGAGATAGATGTTTTTACTTGGGATTTGACTAATAAAAGGTGAAGTTCTGGGGATCTACCAATGCCTAGAAATAATAAAAGTATCGTTTTTTTTCTCTAAATATCAACATGAGTCTAAGCATATTTTGGTATTATAGGATCAGAGTATAATTACCATTGCAAGACAATGTTGACAATACTAAGAACACTTCTAGTGGTAGTCACTCAGATGGCCACTAGAGGTACTTCCTGAGTGAGTGCAGTGTGCATGGAAATGCTATGCATGGAAACGCTGAACGCTCCCCATAGAGATGCATTGATTCAAGTGATGATTGGTGCACAGCGAAGTTTCCACTAGCCTCCCAATGCTTTTCTGTGGGAAAGCATTCAATGAGCTGAGATTATCAAGTTTGATAAAGAGTGGGGAGGAGCCAGCCACGACAAGACCTGTGCAGCGCTGGGAAAAAGGCAGCTAAAACACCTTTTTAACAGGGGCTAGGGACCTAAATAGCACTATTAGAACTATAGGGTCAGGAATAGATAGTGTTCCTTTAATATAGTGTCAGGAACACAGTGTTCCTTTCATTTTGATCTTTCAGCTGTTTAGTAAATAGCTTACTAATCTGGTATTCTTATATATGGCAAACCAACAAGAGTATACCAGATTAGGGGATTATTCACTAACCTGCTGAAAGTTCAAAATAAGGAACATGGCTGTAATTAATTGTGATCTTTCACCTATTAAAGGGAAACTATATTGCCAGAAAAAAAACAAAGTAGTTTTCCTCTCACTATAGCTCCCTATAGTGCTCCTCTGTATCTCTCTCCCCCTACCCCTCTTGTCACTTACCTGATTTCAGTGCCGATGTCCCCCAGCGCTGGTTCAAGCTCCGCAACCTATCCTTATGCGCCTGTGCGGCGATGGCCGCACTCACATTAGTACTTCTCCTATAGGAAAGCATGTATAATGCTTTCTTATAGGGTTTTACATGACGCTGGATGTCTCCATGCATAACGTGAGGACGTCCAGCGTCAGGCGAACAAAAGTTTATTAAAAACTGCAGTATTTACCTTTGCAGGATTAAGGCACCTGCGACACTGTACCCAGACCACTTCAATGAGCTGAAGAGGTCTGGTTGTCTACAGTGTCCCTTTAAGTAGATAGCTCCATAATGTGATATGCTTATATATGTCAATCCTATATAAGGATACCAAGATACTGTGTTTAATTGAATCTGTTAAGTTTACATATATTTTTACCACATGTTCCCTGTACAAAATGTAATCACATTTGAATACAGAGCCAAAATGTATCTACAAGACAGGTGTATTCACATTTAGGCCATAGCAGTGAGGCACATCTATAAGATAGCCCTGATGAATATTTTAATGAAAAACTGTTCAAGCAAGTATTGAAATAATCAAATTAAATGGACTATTATCTGTATTGATGATTGATGTTTATACACAGGGAAAAAGATGGGAAGAACTATAAAAGCATATTTATTTTTAACATTGCAACTAATAACATCGACAGATTACAACAAATAAATAAGGCCATTAAATATTGCATGTTTACACTGATAATTTCACTGGATATGGATCCATGTCATAAGATACTTTTAAATAGCCTTAATTATTGGTGCACGCCAAAAACTTTGGTTCGGTTCGGCACTTTGGCAATTTCGGCACTTCGGACATTCAGAAGCATCCGAATGTCCGAATTGCCGAAATTCATCCGAATTTACATTCAGAAGGAAACGAATTGAACATGTCTAATACATGACACATAATTTAAAATACACTTGTATAAAGTCAATAATGACTACTTTAACTGGGTTATATTACCTATTAGCTCTGGCAATCAGTCAGCTGGAGGATACATTTCTCATTATTAAGACTACACCTAACATTGCAGCCTTCCATATTCTCTACCTATACTCATATATATTTACTTTGTACTAATGTGTCAATCGCAGATGTACAATGTAAAATAAATACAAACTAAATGAAATACTTAAAATAAGATGCCTGTTGCCATTTGACAAAAAATAAACACGCTTCTTTCAATAAATTAGTTAGGAACAAGAAATCTTCCTTTTGTAGCAAAATAATGGAAACAAAATTGAAAAATATCAACACTCTATCTCAAAGTTACAGGGAAAAAAAAGAAAAACATGAACACAAGAAAGCTTTTGTACCATACTTTAGTCAAAGTAATGTCAAAGCAAATCTAAATGAGTCTGACAAAGCTCTGTATAATGGGAGCTATTTTAATGAGCAGGCATACTGTTCGTTGCCTGAATAATCTCTATAACAAGAGCCAAGGAGTAAGCTTAATTTAAATAAAAAAAAGAATTATAGAGAGCACAGAGCATGAAGAAAGGCAAAGGTACAATATGCTAACTAGGTATTATTTTATAAAATAAATTGAAACCATAGCTAATATAATTGGATGTATTAGCGCACATTGCTATTTTTACATATATCTCTAGATGTCTCTGCAGGGAACACTGTGTTTATTGTGAAATATTTCCAGTTACAGTAAGGTAGGAGTCAAGCACACATTCCCAGGGGTTAATGTTAAGGTTAGTGTTAGGTCATCTTTAGGCAGGTGCCAGGGTTGAAGCCGTCCTCATTGTAACAGAGACAGTGCAAAGCATGTTACTTGATGCAGCACGATAATGATGGTGCCAGACACTAAATGCTCTGCTCTGTTTGCTTTTTATTTTATACACTTACTCACAGAGTGCCATGACTGCTAGTAAGTGATTGGGTTGCACCTGTCAGAGGTGCTGACTAGACACTCAACCCCCCGTGGACCACAAGGACCATATCCCCCCAATCAGGACGCTCGGCAGAGTGACACAGGGTTATAGGAGAACAAAGTGTGATGGGGCGATTGGTGGGGGATTAATTTAAATATTTAAACTGCCACTCTCCTTACCTCCTCATTGGTAATGCTGCTGGGTCCCACAATAGTATGTGCCCTGTCCACGTGCAGCAGTGGTGTCAAGGCAGGGGAAGCTGGGCAGATGCTCAGTTTGCCCAGGATCACCAGAGAGTTGGATACAGAGAGGGGGAAGTCTTTCCCTATGGACATCATGTTGGGCCTGTCAGTTGGACCATATTGGGACCAAACAATGAAAGTGGAACGTGGCAGCAGGCCATGGGTAGGAGACATTTTTTGTAGGATACAGATTTGGGTGTCCCTTGACATGGGACCCTAAGGCAAGCCATATGTGCCACTTTATGATAGCGCCAGCCCTGTCTGCATGAAGAGTAATTAAAGGATATCCTCTCACTTTGATGTAACCTGATCTAACCAGAAGCCTTGCTAACCATTACTAACTAATCTAAACCATAATTAATTCTAAAACCAAGTGTTTAAGTGGCCACACCATACCCTGTGCAGTGACCATAACAAAAGAGTTAAAGAGATACTATAAGCTCAAAAACAACTTAGTGAAGCAGGTTTGGTGTATAGATCATGTCCCTGCAGTCTCACTGCTCAATTCTCTGCCATTTAGGAGTTAAATCACTTTGTTAATGCACCCCTAGTCACACCTCCCTGCCTGTGACTTACACAGCCTTCCTAAACACTTCCTGTAAAGAGTCATCCAACGTTTACACTTCCTTTATTTTAAATTCTGTTTAATTTAGAATTCCGTATCCCTGCTCTGTCTCCTGTGTGGGATCAAAGTTCAATTTGTGTTGCAGGAGATAAAAACTTCTAAAGCAAGTTAACATTGGATTAACCCCTTAAGGACACATGACATGTGTGACATGTCATGATTTTATTTTATTCCAGAAGTTTGGTCCTTAAGGGGTTAAAAATGAAACCATTTTTTTTTCATGCAGGCTGTGAGAGTCCCAACGAGGGGAGGTGTGGCTCGTTTTGGAAAAATTGGAAAAAAGCTGAATTGGAAAAATTCTCTAAATCAGCTGAACTTTCAGTCCAGCTACTTTGTCCTAAAATTTTAAATTCTACTAGAATTCTTTTTTTTTTTTTTTTTAATTCTCACTTTAGTGACAAACCCTGTTAGACTCATGAAAGGTTATTTTTCAGCATTCAGGAAAGGAAATCCTCCATATGAAGGAAACCTAGTGGTGCTAATGGAGCCAGATGTGACCACATTTCATACATAATATACCAATATCGCTCAACGCACACAGAGAAGATCTTTCAAGCGCTCAACAAACAATCTCTCAATGCTATTTTACAAAACACAGCCCAAATATTGTTTTCTTTATGCATACTAGCCTTGAACCAGGAATTGGGGAGCACCCCGCCCCACCCAGGTGCTTAATAACAGGTGTTATGAAAAGTGCTTACATTGTAGTAGAATTGCTTGGAATGGAAAGGCAGTGATCCAAGAAGCTGATGCAGTTTGCAGTATATATTTCTCCAGAGTTCAAATTTTAAAAATGTAGTTTAAGGCTCACTGATATTGAGATATTTTGTAATAAATGGTGGGCTTATACAAAGTATGGCCATGTAGAGGGACTATATCTTCATATTTTAAATATAAGACAGCGATATAAAAATCAGCCATGAAAGATTATTTGTAAAAGTGATTTATGTGCGTATGCGGAGTCATGTTGGTGTATTGATTATATGAGGATGGTTGTTCCCAATAAAGACACTCCGATGTTTGGTAAAGAGTAAACAAGTAACTACTTACAGCTAGAACCTCCAAGGCTTAAAGTCAGATTTATTGTAGCTTCAAATCTTTGAATGTATCTAGTCAAAGCACAATTCTTTATACTATGTGTAACAGAGCTCCCTGTACTCCGACCGAGTACCCTCCGTTGATGGACGCTTCCTAGCTTGCGCCGAGGACCACAAGCACCGCACAAGACACCACAACCACCACACACTCCGCTGTAGCTTGACCGGAGTCTTGCCGTTTTCCTTCCACCCTGGTTTAGCTTCTGTCCTCCAGGACCGTGTGGGAAAAACCTATTCCTTCCACCCTGTATGAACCTCCAGCATCCAGGACTGTGCGGGGAAGACCTCTCCTCCAACGAGAGCGTGTCAGGAACAAGCTCTTAAAAGAGCTAAGTGATTCAAGCTCAGGGGAGCATGCAGAGCATAGCAATCCCCAGTGTGATTATAACAGCTCCCTCCAATAACGAGACAAGGCTACGTTTAGAGGGATCAAGAAGAACTGTCTAAACCTTTATTTTACTTGGGACTAGCCCGTATGGTCATTACATTAACAATGCTGTGAAAACTCAATAAAATTACAAACAGCCAAATCATAGCAGGCAACATACAGTGACTTATTATAATACAATGGCACATTTTTAAAGGGGTGGGGGAGACAATATTTAACAGAAAATATCTCACGTGCCTTCAGAATTAGCAATATGCAAATCTACCCTAATATGCAAATGAACCAGTCTTGCTATTCAGGTAGTGCATATTGCTGTTGCTACCAACAGAGGGCACTAGACAAGCTCCATAGCCAAACCCACCTAGTTGGTAGCAAACCTCAGCAGTACAGGAGAGCAGGCAATACATTACACAGTACACACACACACACTATAAACAATTACATTACACACACCCTGCACGTATAATGGGTACATGGTGACACAAACATAAGAGAAATAAAGCAACCTACATAAATAGTCTGTCTGAAGGTAGAATAGGGGCTTTAAAGCCAAATACATCAAAGAGTCATAGTCACAGGGGAGGAGGCTGGCAAGCAGGCCTCTCCAGGACCAAGTGGCAAAGGGCACTTCGTCACACTATGGAAGTAGATCTATGGTAACACAGTGAGGAAATAGAATGTTCAAATTATTATAGAAGATATTACCCTTATGATATCACAGATGTCATATTCCGATTGGCGATCCCCTTACTGCAGTTCTAAGTTTTGCCAATCGCCCCGCCTCCACGTCTGACATCAGACACCCGTCTATTTAGTCCAACTATTGAATCGCTCACTCAAATTGTTTTAGCGATTCAGTACTGCCATTTGAGCTTATACTTACTTGAAATTCCTGTGTACCGAACTTCTGCTTATGACCTTGTTTCAAGACAATTCTAATGCCAAAAGATTATAATTTTATTACGTGACAGGGGTCTTCATATTTTGCATTTACTTCCTTTACTACTCAATAGCCGCAAAGAACATAAAAAACAAAGAACCAATAGGAGATTAGCAAAACAGATAACGTGCTCCTCCCACTGAGGCACTTTCTCTTTCATTGCTGCTCCATCACAAGTCAGGTCAGAGTATTGTGTGTCTCACATTTTCCCTGGCTTGTCTTGTTTCTGTAGCGTTACTTACCTTAACCGGGGGCCGGTCGCGGTCCTCTCTTCAAGCCGCGCGCGGTCCTGCGGCTCATCCGACTGCTTTAGATGGAAGGCGGGCAGTGACCGCGTGAAGCGGTCACGTGTCCCGCCTGAAACTAAGAGCGCGCCGCGAGTCTCGGGCGCGCTCTTAAAGAGACAGTGGGAGCCTAATTGCCAAAAGGCTCCCATTGGCTCCTGTCATACCACACTCCCTATACAATTACCTTTTGGGGGTGTGGAAGTGACAGGAGCCAATCACTTTCGTTTAAAAGCTATTTAAACTTACCTTTTTCCCTTAGCTCGTTGCCCTATCGTGGTTTCTGTTTCAGTTCCCTTTAGCGCTTGTGGTGTTCAGTTGTGTTTTCTCGTATTGACTTTGGCTTCGTATTCTGACTTCGTTTTCGCTTTATCCTTATCTGTACTGTTTGCCGGCTTGCTGTTTTCCGTGTACCAGACCCCGGCTTGTCCTAGTTTACGCTGTCTCTCTGTGCCCTTGACCTCGGTTTGTTCCTGGCTCTGTCTCCTCTCATATACGTCGAGTCCGGCCATTCTAAGGTCCGGTAGACGTATCTCTCCTCTGTATTGGCTTCTGTTTAGCTGGATCCTGCGTGTAGGGGTATATTCTCGTTACATTACGATAGGGCCATGGACCCCGCAGATTTAGCTCAACAGATGGCGTCCCATGAGGCAAGATTTGTAGAGCAGGATCACCGTATGGATCAGATAGCTCAGGCTCTCCAGACGCTCCTAGCTAGAACCGTTCCAGCAACCACACCTAACCCTCCTACGCCCCTTCTCCCTGAAGTATCTACTTTGCCTAATACTTCGGCCCATTTAACACCTCCTCCTAGGTATGGAGGGGACTCTAAGACTTGCAGAGGGTTTATTAATCAAATTGAATTCCACTTCGAAATGTATCCACGTTCATTTCCCACAGAGAGGTCTAAGGTTGGGTTCTTTATGCACCAACTTACCGATAAGGCACTTGAGTGGGCAAATCCTATTTGGGAAGCTAATGGACCTATGGTACATGATTTCAACAGTTTTCTTACGGCTTTTCGTAGAACTTTTGACACAATGAAAAGGTCAAAGAATGCCGCGAGAGCATTAATGAGAATTAAACAGGGTTCTAGGTCTGTGGCTGATTATGCTATTCAGTTTCGCACTCTTGCTTCGCAGGTAGATTGGACCAACAATGGGTTAACTACTGCCTTCATGGAAGGTTTGTCAGATACGATATTGGATGAGGTAGCAGCTAAGGAGCTTCCTATTGCCTTAGAGGACCTTATCGATTACCTCATTGATATAGATAATAGAATTCGTGACAGGCTCTATACCAAGAACAGGAATAGACGTTTTGTTACACCCATTAACCCCAGAGTTAATATACCAGAGAGTGTTAAAGTGTCTGAGGAGGAACCTATGCAATTAGGGGTTGCCAAACTCTCTGATACTGAGAAATTACATAGGAGAAGGGAGGGACTCTGCCTATACTGTGGTAGGAGAGACCATATGGTAAAGGAATGTCCTTTACTCCCGGAAAACTCTCGCACCTAAGACCTTATAGGGGACTGGCCTTGGGTGTGATATCTAAGTCTCCTAAATTGCCTCCTAACCGCTTGCTTCTCCCGGTTTCTTTATATATGGGAGAGATTTGTATAGTTGACAACATATATGCTCTGGTTGACTCTGGGGCAGCTGAAAATTTTATAGACTCTGGCTTTATAAAGAGAAACAACATTCCCATCAGAGAGAAGGAGATACCCTTGGCCGTTGAGGCCATAGATGGTAGACCATTAAGTTCTCCAGTTGTTACTCATGAGACTGTACCATTACACATGTACACAGGGGTTTTACACTATGAAACCATTCGATTC